AAAAAAATACATAAAAACAGCATTTAAATTCCTTGTAGAAACCTGAGATTGCTGTCATCCAGACTGCACCATCAGTGCATTGAATTAGCGTTGAAACACACTCCACTTTATGGAGTGGATTGCTCTGCAATGCATGCACCCTTCTTCGAAAAAAGCATGCAGAGGAAGCATACTGTATAGGGGGATTGGCAAGTTCCCAGGCGGGATCGGACAACGGGGCGTGTATCGCAACAACATGCATCCATCCATTGAAAAAAAATTAGCTTCACGACTTTGGAAGGCCCACTTCCCCTCCCTGCGAGAACGGCACAAGATGCGTTTATCCTGACAAACAGATGTCGAAAGTGATTTGCTGACTTCTGCGAATTCGTTTGAGCTCTTGATCATTTTTTGGGGCAGTTCGGCAACGGGGGGGGGGGCACTTTGTACTTTTGTTACTTCCCATTGAAGTGTTAAGCCATTTAGAGAGCCATTTCACGAGCGCACACGAGTTGACAGGTTTTACCATGATGGCTTGACGAGCTTGCTCCAGCTTCACAAGAGTTCACAGGTTTCACCAGCGTGAGACTTGTAAATCGGAACTGATGATGCAGCGAGGGGCGAAATGCTCCCCAGTCGTCGAACTGCACCCGGCTCCGCCCACACTGGCTCATAACTTTCTCAGAACTCATCGACACTTCAACCTAGGTAGGTTATCGCCCAGATTTCTTTGGGATCCTTCCCTCGCTCCTGACATCGAAAGAGATCTCTGAAGCGAAAGACAATTGAAAATAGTATCAATGAACACTCGTGTCTAACACTTAAATATTAACAAGTCCATTGCTGTTTTACATGAACGACGCAGGTGCAACATAATTCTACGTAATCCTTGTCAAACATTTCTATTTTGTAGCTGCTTGAAGCTTGTTATTCAAGTTTCAACGAAAGGCGTAATTTGAAAACGTTCTGATCTATAAGCTACTTTATGTTGATAGTTCTAATAGTTTGGCTAATGCATGCTGTAGAATCTTATGAAGCTTTTCTTCGACACGACATCTTTACACTGGACTTTGCAGAAATCTTAAGATTGTATCATAAAAAGGAGTTTAACAATAAAAAAAATTTTTGTGAAAACTTTTGGATTCTT